CAAGTAGATAGCATGTGCTCTTCCCATCTGCCTTCCTTTCTTATTTCACCTCTCTCCAGCATGCTCTTGCTAACTCTATTTGTTGCTATAATGCCCTCTCTTGTCAAACTCTCTTGTTTACCCCTCCTCCTCCCCACCCTACAACCTGTACATATCACCCTCATTTCTGCCCTCTCAATATCACTGCACTTATCTCCTGCTCTCTCTTGGTCCACATAATGTCACCGCTACAAAATCAAATAGCCGGGTATTAAAATTCCTACTAATCTCTCTCATATTTTCTCTGAGAATTATACTCCTCTACTTCAACGCACGTTACAGGACCTCCAGAATTATGACCGCTCCTTGTACTCCTGGTTTGGCCAGATCCAGACTCTGCCTATTGCCATCCCCAGGCCCTTCTTCAGGTGCTTACAAACTGCTTTTACGAGATTTATCTGGGGTCCACTAAGGCTGAGACTACATAGAACGATCTTGACTCCTCCCAAGCAATGGGGCGGTGCGGGGACTCCCGATATGCGTCTTTATCATGCAGCGGCGGTTGTTACTCATTTGTCGAACTGGTTTCATTACGCCTCTACGAAGCAGTGGGTTTCTTTTGAACGGGTCATGGTACTGTGTGATCTGTTGATCCTTCCCTGGATAGTTGCTACATCTCGGTGTCCATCTTCTTCCTTACGGTTTCTGACTGTTCAGCTTCTACGAAATTGGGATACTGTGGTACTGCGGCTTGGGGCCTCTTCCTTGGTTGGTCCCATGACCCCTGTTTGGAAACCCCCAGTTTCCCCCGGCTCAGTCTCGTAGACATTTTCTTTGTTGGAGCAGGGTCACTCACAGGCGTTTGGTGCAAATACTTAGTTGTGGGTCTTCCATCCTTCTGACAATCTTTGCTCTTTGGATTGGGCCGCTTTTGCCCAGTGGATGCAGTATAGACAGCTTAGTCACCAAATCAAGCTCAGCAAGAGGTACACAGAAAAGAGCTAAGGACCCCACACCACTCGAATCCTTGTTCCTTCGGGATCTTCCCCCTTTGCGCCCTCTCTCCGAGATTTATCAGATCCTGCTGGCCACAGTTCATCCGGACCTTCCTCCGTATACCTCCAGGTGGGCTGGGGCCCTTGCCGTACAGATTGGATGAGGACTGGTTGAAATCCTTTACCCTTACACACCATTTGAAATTGGTTTCCTGAGCCCTACTGGTCAGAGACAAATTGCTTACTTGGTGGTACAGATGCTCCATCTTCCTTCATAGGATCTTCCCTTCCAACTCTGATCTCTGTTGGCGCTGTCAGGCTGCCCCTGGCTCCCGTCTTCACGTCTGGTGGGAATGTCCCCTTATTTACACGTTTTGTGATCTTACCTTGTGAGATTACTCAGAGGGTACGGACCAGATGGTCTCCAATATGCCTCAAATTGTTCTAATTTCTATCCTGCCTGGCTCCTTCAAATGTATCAAATGCGGCCTTCTTCACCATTGCTTGACTGCTGCCAGGCTGGTTATACCTCAACATTGGAGAACTAGCTGTATCCCAACACTTTTGGAGTGGGTTGAGTAGATGGACCACATTGGAAGTATGGAGTCACTCTTAGCTCAGGAATTGGGTACTTCGGAATGCTGTAGTCAGACTTTGCTCTCCTAGCATCTGTATAAGGAGTCCTCAGCACTCTGCAATACTAGAGCGGGACTTGTCCCTTTTCTCTCTTCTTGGTTCATGTTGGTTTGTTGTCTTACTGGGTGCTTTTCCTCAGGTGGATCTATACTTTTTTTTTTTATCCTTTTCTTCCTTCTTTACCTTACTGTTTCCCCTCCTCCCCCCTTTTTTTTTTATCCCCCTTCTATTTTTGTTTTTCTGGGTAATAGTTTTCTGGAAGGGGAGGGGTGTGGATTGCTGTGAGGGTTCCATTGCTCCTTTCCCTTTTTTTTTCTTTTCTCACAAGCTGATTTCCCTTGTTCTGTATGGTTCACTGTCCGTTGGGGTTTGTGCAGTTTTATTATGGTTTTTCTAGTCTCTATCTGTACCCTTCGGGGGCTTGATATTGATTGTACAACAAGACTATTTGCACTTTACCCTTGGGCCTGCAATTGGAGCTACTTAGTGCCAGACTGTTATTGTTTATTATTACCTCATGTTCTCTTGCTTACCCTTACTTCCCCCCTTTCCGACATCCCTTTTTTTGTATTCCCACCATTGTATTGTTTCTGTGCCAGTTTTTTTTTTTTTTTTTATGTACAGTTCCTGAAAAGCTTTAATAAAGAGATTGAGCATAACATGGGTGCGGGTCCTCTACTCAGCTCCCTGTGCTAGACTTCATATTAATAATGTGCTTTCTGCCACTTTCCCTTTATACAAGGGTACTCACCAGGGTTGCTCTCTATCCCCCCTCCCTTGGCAATCATGGTTTGCAGACACTCCTCAATTGTGGGATTCTGTAGAGGATAAGGTATCTCTCTATGCTGATTTGGGGGATGTATCTGAATCCATTCAAACCCTAATGGAGACCATAATTGACATTGGTAATTGACATTTCACTATTAACTGGATGAAATCTGCTCTTATGGCCCTGGATCCAATTTTCCTCTCCTCTGACATGTGCTAAGCAAATCCCTGTAGTTCAATCCTTCAAATATCATGGAGTGATAGTATCTCCAGATCCTTCTTCCTATCTCCCTCAACTTATTACCACTGTTGGATAGACAGAGGCAGAAGGGCTATAGTTGGTGCAAACTGCCTCTTTTGGTTGTGGGAAGAGTTAACCTTATCAAAATGATATGGGCTCCTCAGCTCCTGTACACATTTCATAACTCTCCTATGTGGATTTCACAGAAATGGTTTGAGAGGGTAAACTCCCACTTTAGGGCCCTTATTTGGAGAAGGGGGACAGCTTGGATAAGTTTGAATACCCTACAGTATGATAAAGATAGGGGGGGGTTTGGCAGTTCCATATGCTAAATGGTATTTTCTTGCTGCCCAGTTCCAACAACTTGCGGGATGGGGTCGACAGGACAATCTAGATCCGATTGCCAGATTGATAACTGTTCCCAATCCGGATTTACACCGTTTTTCATTTGGACATGGGTCTCCTGGCTCTCCCCTTAAGTGCCACTGCTGTTCTCCTGCTGAAGGTCTGGGAAGCCTTGAAGGTAGTGTTAGCCATATTAGGTTTCACCCCTATTTGGCATAATCCTATATACCCAGAATTAAATAAATTAGAGGGTTTTTCTGAATGCGTAAAATAGAGGTATACTTCATCTTAGTCAATTATATTCTGATGTTCAATTTAAGTCATGAGCTGAGTCAGGAGTTCTCGTTGCCTCAATTATTTCTATAAATATCTTCAACTGAGTTATACAAGCTCAGAAGCAAACTTTATCCCTCATCAGAGCCAAGTCTAGACTGCTTACTGAGGTATTACAGGCTTCTTTGCGCAATGGTTTAATATCCTGCATCTACAAGGTATTACTCTCCTCTACCCACGACCATGCGAGTTTAAAATCTAGGGCCCAGTGGGTTGCGGATCTGGAGGAGATAGGGGGGTAATCGTGGGGATTTGGCTTTAGAGTCCATACCTGTATCATCCCTGTTGGCCTCACACAAGTCATCCCAGCTATTTATCCTTCACAGGGCATACCGAACACCGGTTAGATTGTTTGAATGGGGCAGGAGAGATACACCTTTGTGCCCAAAGTGTATGGCACACAGAGGGGACATTATTCACATGATTTGGAAATATCCAAAATTAGCAAGATATTGGGAGGATGTTCTGGGGGGTTATGTCTTCCCAGACTCCTGTCTCTTTGGATTCATTAGTGTGTCTATTGGGAGTGTTGGACCCTGAGCTGTACACTCCAGGTATCTATATCATGATTACTCATCTCTTGTATTTAGCAAGAAAACTAATAGCTAGATATTAGCTGTCCAGTACAATCCCTTCTAAGAAATGTTGGGTGCAGTATGTTAATTGTCTCCTTTTACGAGAATAAATTACGTATCGTCACCATAATGCCCCACGTATATTTGAGCTAATCGGGCAGAACTGGTTAGATACGCCTGGTTTGGCACCTCCAAGATTGATCATGAACAGACTTTTACAAATTTGATACATTACGGGTAGTTGATTGTTGAAATGGAACTTGATGAACCACCTGCAACTGTTATCATTCCTGTTGTGTGTTCTGCTCTTCTTTTCCTTCTGACTTTTGTTTCCTCTACAAAATTTTTACTGATGTGATCTTAAAACTCTGCAACAAAGGGCTAGAAAGATGTAATCCTATTGTGTATGCTGTATATAAATTATGTACATTTTTCTTGTACCCATTTGTATGATTGTCTACTTCCCTGCTCTTTGCTCCTGTATTTCCCTTCATTTTTCAATAATAAAAAAAAAAATACCCAGTTCTCAACGGCAGAGCCACATAAATTCCACCACCCCTAAAAAAGGCCAGATTTAAGTATAATTAAAGCAATCTCAGTTCCATGAACTGGAAGACTTGGCAGATGGTATTTAGATATTAACAGTTACACACAACACACTTGCAATACAAAATCAGGAGGTAGAGTATGTATTAAAATTTCTTTGGACAAAATAAAAGTTAAATGTGATTAAGCTCATAATGTGCAAATAAGTATTAAATGTCCTATTCCAGACAGATTATATAGTGCAGTTTAGAAGCTTGAAAAAGTGCCAACGTTTTAACCAAACAAACAATGCTCAGCTTTAATAACAAAAGGAAAAGCAAACTGTTGCCGATTTAGGCATCTGTGTTCAAACGTGGAGTACTGATGCATATGTTTGGGTTACTTCAGAAGCAGAAGGTGAATGAGATCTTTCATATTTGTGAGGTCCATCAGCGTGATAAGTACGTTTTCTCACCTTCACCAGCAAGAATTATTCTGAAGACAAACCACCTCATTTGAGAGGCTGATGTCAGTTCTAGTTTATCCACAAGCCTGATCACTCTGCTCCAAGACCACAAGGAGTGATTAGCATGGTTCAGTCCATCATGAAGAGGATGCTTGTCCAGGAAAGTAAGCAGACTGAATAGGAGGAACTGTCTTTGCTTGTGGCACTGTACGTATTGTTTTCTGTGGCTCTAAGGAAGAAATACCACATCTGTTTATTCTATAAGTAAGTGGAACATTAAAGGTTAGTATTGACTTCTCATAGCAATAATTGAATTGTGAGAAGAATTAAACATCATCCTTATTCCATACTGTTATAGCAACACATCTATATGCAATTAAATTATTTAGAATTAACAATAGAGGATGTGTACAAACTGTTTCTACATTATTCTATGCAAAGTTGCTGCAAGCCTTTGGATATAGTAGTAAGGGTTACAACCTCTCTTAGATTTAGTACTGTCTACATCATACTGAGGAACCTTCCCATCACATCCTAGCTTCCAAAGAATGCTTTTCCAGAACTGGTCTGGCTTTTTTTTTCAGATGTTTTTTGGTAAAGTCTAATCTGGCTGAGCTTACCAGTGAGGAGTTCTTTCCTCAGAATGTACCAAACTGTTGATTTGGCCACTCCTAATGTTGCTGCTATCTCTCGGATGGATTTGTTTAATTTTTGAAGCCTTACAATGGCCTGTTTCACCTGCTTTGCATGGACAGCTCCTTTGAACACATGATATGGGTTCAGAACAATAGATTTTAAATGCAAATATCACACTTAGAATCAACTCCAGACCTTTTACCTGCTTAATTGATAAAGAAATAACAAAGGAGTAGCCCACACAAAACAGCCTTTGATTCAACTGTCCAATTACTTTTGGTCCTTTGAAAAAGGGGGATGGCTACTCTTAAAAGCTGTAATTCTTAAACCCTTCCTCCAATTTGGATGTACATACCCTCACATTAAACCTGAGCTTGAATATGTTTTGGTAAATACCTGAAAAAATCCTAAAATTGTGCCCGTTTCCAAATATATATGGTCACCAAAGATCCATTATCTCCTGCGCTTAAAGACTTAGATCAAACGAGCATTAGTAACAAACAGCGTGTTCATCTGCTAGTGATCAGAGGTTGTGCAGCTCTATCATGAAGCTGGGGAAGCTTGATAAAACTGTAGAAGAGGATGAAAGAAAGAGCGCACAAACCTTGCGCATTACCTCAATAAATAGTGACTAAGTTTATTTTATACTCACAAAACTGAGGGTAAAACAGGCATAAGTAACCATAATCCACACAGGGTTACAGGTAAATCCAAAGGGGGGGGGGGGGGGGATAAAAGCTAACGTGTTTCGAAGGGTGCTCCCTTCTTCATCAGGCTGAACTGCTGTAATACTGACACTCAGTGGCTGAATGTCTCCTTGCCATGGGAACTCTGCTATACTGAAACTTCTATCTGCCAAACCCAGCTCTGATGAAGGAGGGAGCACGTTAGCTTTTATCCCCCCCCTTTGGATTTATCTGTAACCCTGTGTGGATTATGGTTAACTTATGCCTGTTTTACCGTCACTTTTGTGAGTATATTTCCTAAATAAAATAAAATTAGTCACTATATATTGAGGTAATGCGCAAGGTTTGTGCGCTCTCTCTTTCATCCTCTTCTCCAAATGTATATGGACCCAACTCTAGGTGGTTAAACTTGATAGAGGGTGGTTTCTGAACCAGCACACCTTGTATTTTAGGTTGTGGCTGGCCATTGCGTTTTTGTTACTTTCCCTATAACCCAGATGTCCATGAGTAGGGATGCCACCACAACAGAAGTGTTCAATACTCTTCTGCATACAGTACTCCTGTGAACACAGCCTTATTCTGGATATACACATTAAAATTTGGGAATATACTGTACAGATTATAGGCAAAAGTCTAGAACAAGCCTTCTCTGGCCATGCATGGGCACCATAACCCTCCTGGCATGCCACCACTGCTAAAGTATGGTTAATGAGCACAACTGCAAAAGTTCATACCTGAAGCAGTGTTCTGGTTAAGGCCATGCAAAGGGAGGCCCACTTCTCGCTTCTTTAAATATTTCAAATCCAGGCCAGCTGATTCTCCACTGAAACAGAAATTAGCGTTAACATATTGATCTGGATTAGTTAAACCTCAGCAGTCAGAATGGAAGAACTGGTAAAGCCAGGAGAGAAGCAGTGACATTAGAAGGTACTTACTTTTCTTTGTTTGCACTTGGAACTGACCCAGAAAGGCTTTGTGGTTGTTGTATTCTGGTAAGTGGATTATTGTAGTGAACCTTGAGAAAGTAGAGGACTGACTTAAATATAAAACTGAACACATGTACATTGGATATAAAAAGTCTACACCCCTGTTAAAATGTCAGGTTTCTGTGATGTAAAAAAATGAGTCAAAGATAAATCTTTTATAAAACTTCTTCCACCTTTTAATGTAACCTATAAACTGTACAACTCACTTGAACAACAAACTGAAATCTTTTAGGTGGAGGGAAGTAAAAATAAAAACGAATATAATATGGTTGCATAAGTGTGCACACCCTTAAACTAATACTTTGTTGAAGCACCTTTTGATTTTATTACAGCACTCAGTCTTTTTTGGGTTGTTGTCATGCTGAAAGATTACGTTCCTCTTCATGTTCAGCTTTCGAGCAGAAGCCTGAAGGTTTTGTGCCAATATTGACTGGTATTTGGAATGTTTTATAATTCCCTCTACCTTGACTAAGGCCCCAGTTCCAGTTGAAGAAAAACAGCCCCAAAGTATGATGATGCCACCACGCTTCACTGTGGGTATGGTGTTCTATTGGTGATGTGCAGTGTTGTTTTTGCGCCAAACATATATTTTGGAATTATGGCCAAAAAGTTCAACCTTGGTTTCATCAGACCATAACACATTTTCCCACATGCTTTTGGGAGACTTCAGATGTGTTTTTGCAAAATTTAGCCGGCCTTGGATGTTTTTCTTTGTAAGAAAAGGCTTCCATCTTGCCACTCTACCCCATAGCCCAGACATATGAAGAATACGGGAGATTGTTGTCACATATACCACACAGCCAGTACTTGCCAGATATTCCTGCAGCTTCTTTAATGTTGCTGTAGGTCTCTTGGCAGCCTCCCAGACCAGTTTTCTTGTCTTTTCATCAATTTTGGAGAGACATCCAGTTCTTGGTAATGTCACTGTTGCACCATATTTTCTCCACTTGATGACTGCCTTCACTGTGTTCCATGGTATATCCAATGCCTTGGAATTTCTTTTGTACCCTTCTGACTTATACCTTTTAACAATGAAATCCCTCTGATGCTTTGGAAACTCTCTACGGACCATGGCTTTTGCCATAGGATGTGACTAAGAAAATGTTAGGAAAGACCTACCAGACCTACCAGCTGAACTTTATTTGGGGTTAATCAGAGGCACTTTAACCGTTTCAATACCGTGCAATTTTACACCTTCCTGCCCAGGCCATTTTTCAGGTTTCAGCGCTCTCACACTTTGAATGACAATTGCGCGGTCATACAACACTGTACCCAAACTAAAATTTTATCATTTTCTTCACACAACTAGAGCTTTCGTTTTGGTGGTATTTAATCACCGCTGGGGTTTTTATTTTTTGCTAAAATTAACAAAAAAAGACCAAAAATTTTGAAAAAAACCCACATTTTTCTTTGTTTCTGTTATAAAAGTTTACAAATAAATAACTATTGTTCATAAATTTAGGCCGAGATGTATTCTGCTACATGTCTTTGGTGAAAATAACCCAAATTAGGATGTATTTTTTTAGTTTGTAGGAAAGTTATAGAGTTCACAAACTATGGTATAGATCTGAATATTGATCAATCCTGAAGTACTGACAGCCAATCTAATTTCTTGAGGTCCAAGAATGTCAGAATAGTACAGATATCCCCCAAATGACCCCTTTTTGCAGAGTAGACAGTCCGACGTACTTCATAAGAGGCATGGCGAGTTTTTTGAAGTTGTATTTTTATGTCATAATTTTTCGGAAAATGAAAAAATTAAAATTATTTTCACTATTTTTTTTTTTACATACTGTCACCAGTGCAGTACAGCGTCCTCATATAACTGGCATGGCGGTTAACAGGGACACTGACTGGTGACAGTAATAATAAAAAAATATATATATATATTTTTTTTTTTTTATTTAATTTTTTTTTTATTACATTTTTTTTAATTTTTAAGATTTTTTTTTCATATTTTACTATGACCAAAGTAGTACAATGTTACCATAGTAACACTGTACTACTTTGGGGAAGTGATCAGTATTTTTTTTTTTTTTTTTACACAATTTGCTTATAGCAAAGAATTACTTTGCTATAAGCAAGCATTTACCTGAATGAAATCGATTCATTCAGCTTTTTTTTTTTTGTGCTTAGCTGTGATTTGGTCACAGCTAATCACATGACATGTGCATGTGATTAGCTGTGACCATTCACAGCTAGGCACTAGTATACAATGGATGGCATCATGAATGAAGCCATCCATTGTATACAACTGTCATGTGACCTGCTGTGATTGGTCACAGCAGGTCACATGGTACCAGCAACGGGAGCCGGTACTCGGATCTGTCATCGGCCGTGTCCGAGGTGCACGGCCCGTGACAGATCCCGCTGCTGCGCCGCTCTGCATTACCGCAAACGGCGCATGTGCGGGAGCACGCCAAATGGCGTGCACCCGGAATGAAGAGGCACATCTGAAGCCGCCAAACGGCCATTGGCCGGGCGGCTAATGGTTAAATGATGGCAGGTGTGTACTGACTCCTATTTAACATGATTTTGAATGTGATTGCCTAATTCTGAACACAGCTACATCCCCAGTTATAAGAGGATGTGCAGACTTATGTAACCACATTATTTTAGTATTTTATGTTTACTTCTCTCCCCTAAAAGATTTCAATTTGTTTTTCAATTGAGTTGTACAGTTTAAAGGTCACATTAAAGGTAGAAAAAGTTCTGAAATTATTTATCTTTGTCATTTTTTTTTTACATCACAGAAACCTGACATTTTAACAGGGATGTGTAGACTTTTTATATCCACTGTATATAAGATGTCAAATATTTAGTCGGTGCCTCTTCAGTGTACTCACCCTCAGGCCAGCACGATTTATGTCCAGTGAAGGTTGATGGGAAGATGCAGGGGCTGGAACAAGGGACATAACTGGGTAGGAAGGTAGAGGGTAGTTTATGCGAGTGTTGTGACAAGGTATTTGTTGTCTGGCTGTGGGAGGGGGAAAAAAATGGACAGTAAAAAAATAACTGAAATATTTCCATGTATGCAGTATAAGTAGCAGACAAGAAAATGACTCACCATTTGGTTGGGTGACACTGTGGCACGGAAGGGGGCATTGCTCTGATTGGCGCCCACGGAATGAGTCTCATTCAGTTGCTTATTTAACCATGAAATTACTGCATAAAGACAGTAAGACAAATGTTTTAGTATTATGTAGGTGAATAAATGTTCAGAATCCAGTTACAATGTACCTAAAAGTCTTGCATAGTCAAACACAACACAGTAGATCTTATAGAAGCCATGTACAATTATAAACAGGAAATGCTAAATCACTTCATATTAAAGAGCAGTAGCCTACAGCACCTTAGGGATTAGCTAATATAGACTGGGCTGCGATTGATTGCTGGATCCAAACTCCACAAATGCACATTAGAAAATAAGTCACAAGTGAAAAGCAAATATTAGGGTTTAGGACAAGGCAGACAGTTCTGATTTACAACCTTAACTAACTGCTTACCAACCGCCCTATAGAAGATATACTGCTAAAGGGCAGCATGGGTGCGCAAAATCACGTGTATATATACGTGATTTTGCATTTCCGGGTAGAGGGTGGAGGCACTGGACACATTTAACAGCAAAAAGTAAAAAATATTGTTTTTCTCTCTCAAAATTGTTGGTCTTTTTTTTTTATAGTGGAAAAAAAAAAAACTGCACATGCGATCATATACCACCGAAATTCCTGTGGGGAAAAAGGGCATAAACTTAATTTGGGTGCAGTGTTGCATGACCGCGCAATTGTCAGTTAAGGCAAAAACGCAAAAAATGGCCTGGTCAGGAAGGGGGGTAAATCCACAAGAGGGCAAGTGGTTAAAATGCACTTACAAGTGTTGAAATCGCATAGGCATGTAAATACAAAACAGGAATGCCGGTTTGCATTCCAGTAAGTGGAAGTGACGTGTCCAATCCTACGCATTACGTCAGCAAGAGCCCTGACTCCTCAGGGGCATATGACCGGCTCACTTCCACTTATTAATACCACCAGCTCCCACCATATTGCACTTCATCCAATCAGAATCAGAGACATTGTTACCTTTCAAACATCAAACTCAATTACAATTTTTTTTTTTTTGCCATTTGTGATTACACTTTTTGATTTTAATATTTGTTTACAAGTTTGTTTGGGGAAGTATAAGAAAGCGCAGTCAAATCTTTGAGATTTTTTCTCAACATCTTGGACCTATTAAGTCTGATAGGCAGCTTTCACCTTTCATGTTTTTCTCTTTAATTTGGTACACAATTTGGGTGGGTATTTGCTCATTTATTAATTTTTTTTTTGTTAGGTTTTATTGATTTATACACATTTGCGCAGGTGTGGGGCAATTATTATATTTCCGGGACTACAAAATTGAATTTCTATCCCTGCCCCCTCTACCTTCCAATTTGCCAGCTTCAACTCAAAGACAGGATGATTTATGGGCCACCTTGAACCAACTGCAAGAACCAGGAGTGGTACTCCCAGGTCTTGCAGAGGTTCAAAAGATTTTATTCAAACTTATTCACAGTTCCAAAACCAAATGGAGATATTTACCCCATTTTGGACCTGAAATCAGTAAACATAATTGTGTCCCCAGATACTGCATGGAGTCCACAAGATCAGTCATCACTTCTCTCAGATCAGGAATTTCTGGCATCAGTGAACTTCCAAAATGCCCATTTTCACTGTACACCAATGCTTTCTACGCTTTGCTGTGGGAGATCAATGCTTTTTATTTGTCACCCTGCCATTCAGGCTCTCCTCTGCACCAAGAATGTTTACACAAAAGTGCTTGCTCTGCTTCCTGCCCTGCTACAATCTTAGGGCATGCAGGTCATGGGTTACCTGGTTGACCTTCTGCTGAAAGATTCCTCAGCCATGGTCTTGTCTTCCAAAAGTTAATGTAGTTCCTTTAAACCAGCGGTTCTCAACCTGGGGGTTGCAACCCCTTTGGGGGTCGAACGACCATTTCCCAGGGGTCGCCTAAGACCATCGGAAAACAAATATTTCCAATGGTCTTAGGAACCGAGACACCGCTCCTGTCTCCGGCAATGTGTGGGCGGGATGATATGCTGCCCCTGTCACCGCCTCCTCGCCACTGATTGGCCACCGGAACTGTAGCTCAGGAGAGGCACACAGGCAGCCAATCACCGGCGAGGAGGTGGAGCTTGGAGAGGAGGAGCCGAGCGGCAGCGCGCGTAGATCAAAGAAGATCGAGGGAGCTGCAGGAGCGAGTGAAGAGAGGCCAGAGAAGGAAGACAGCTGACAGGTAAGTGCAAATTTTGCTGCTGCAGCCAGGTATGCAGGCTGTAGATGGGAGAGGGAGGGAGCGAGCCCAGGCTGGAGCAGGAGTCAGCAAGGTAAGTATCATTGGTGTCAGTGGGAGGGATAGTGCCCCATCATTTGTGTCACTAATACCAACGATGGGGCACTATTCCTCCCCCCACTGACACCAACGATGAGGCACTATTCCTCCCCCCACTGACACCAACGATGGGGCACTATTCCTCCCCCCACTGACACCAACGATGGGGCACTATTCCTCCCCCCACTGACACCAACGATGGGGCACTATTCCTCCCCCCACTGACACCAACGATGGGGCACTATTCCTCCCCCCACTGACACCAACGACGGGGCACTATTCCTCCCCCCACTGACACCAACGATGGGGCACTATTCCTCCCCCCACTGACACCAACGATGGGGCACTATTCCTCCCCCCACTGACACCAACGATGGGGCACTATTCCTCCCCCCACTGACACCAACGATGGGGCACTATTCCTCCCCCCACTGACACCAACGATGGGGCACTATTCCTCTGACCCAACGATGGGGCACTATTCCTCCCCCCACTGACACCAACGATGGGGCACTATTCCTCCCCTGACACGACGATGGGGCACTATTCCTCCCCCCACTGACACCAACGATGGGGCACTATTCCTCCCCCCACTGACACCAACGATGGGGCACTATTCCTCCCCCCACTGACACCAACGATGGGGCACTATTCCTCCTCCCCCCCACTGACACCAACGATGGGGCACTATTCCTCCCCCCCACTGACACCGCCACGACGGGGCACTATTCCCCCCCCCCCCCCCACTGACACCAACGATGGGGCACTATTCCCCCCCCCCCCACTGACACCAACGATGGGGCACTATTCCCCCCCCCACTGACACCAACGACGGGGCACTATTCCTCCCCCCACTGACACCAACGACGGGGGCACTATTCCTCCCCCCACTGACGCCAACGATGGGGCACTATTCCTCCCCCCACTGACGCCAACGATGGGGCACTATTCCTCCCCCCACTGACGCCAACGATGGGGCACTATTCCCCCCCCCACTGACGCCAACGACGGGGCACTATTCCTCCCCCCACTGACACCACGATGGGGCACTATTCCTCCCCCCCCACTGACACCAACGATGGGGCACTATTCCTCCCCCCACTGACACCAACGATGGGGCACTATTCCTCCCACTGGCGCCCACGATGGGCACTATTCCTCCCACTGACGCCAACGATGGGGCACTATTCCTCCCACTGACGCCAACGATGGGGCACTATTCCTCCCACTGACGCCAACGACGGGGGCACTATTCCTCCCACTGACGCCAACGATGGGGCACTATTCCTCCCACTGACGCCAACGACGGGGCACTATTCCTCCCACTGACGCCAACGATGGGGCACTATTCCTCCCACTGACGCCAACGATGGGGCACTATTCCTCCCACTGACGCCAACGATGGGGCACTATTCCTCCCACTGACGCCAACGACGGGGCACTATTCCTCCCACTGACGCCAACGATGGGGCACTATTCCTCTCACTGACGCCAACGATGGGGCACTATTCCTCCCACTGACGCCAACGATGGGGCACTATTCCTCCCCACTGACGCCAACGACGGGCACTATTCCTCCCACTGACGCCAACGACGGGGCACTATTCCTCCCACTGACGCCAACGACGGGGCACTATTCCTCCCACTGACGCCAACGATGGGGCACTATTCCTCTCACTGACGCCAACGATGGGGCACTATTCCTCCCACTGACGCCAACGACGGGGCACTATTCCTCCCACTGACGCCAACGATGGGGCACTATTCCTCCCACTGACGCCAACGATGGGGCACTATTCCTCCCACTGACGCCAACGATGGGGCACTATTCCTCCCGCTCCCAACGATGGGGCACTATTCCTCCCGCTGACGCCAACGACGGGGCACTATTCCTCCCGCTGACGCCAACGATGGGGCACTATTCCTTCCGCTGACGCCAACGATGGGGCACTATTCCTTCCACTGACACCAACGATGGGGCACTATTCCTCCCACTGACACCAACGATGGGGCACTATTCCCCACTGACACCAACGATGGGGCGCTATTCCCCCCACTGATACCAACGATGGGGCGCTATTCCCCCCACTGACACAATGATGGGGCGCTATTCCCCCCACTGACACAATGATGGGGCGCTATTCCCCCACTGACACAATGATGGGGCGCTATTCCTCCCACTGACACCAATGATGGGGCGCTATTCCTCCCACTGACACCAATGATGGGGCGCTATTCCTCCCACTGATACCAACGATGGGACACTATTCATCCCACTGACATCAGTGATAGGGCGCTAGTCCTCCCACTGCAAAATTACAGTTATGAAGTAGCAACGAAAATAATTTTATGGTTGGGGGTCACCACAACATGAGGAACTGTATTAAGGGGTCACGGCATTAGAAAGGTTGAGAACCACTGCTTTAAACCTTTGAATGGCTGATCAATGTCAAGAAGTCTGCTCTCCATCCTTCCCATCATCATCTGGACTATTTGAGGCTGATTTTGGATATGGCCCAGTTCAAAATTTTTTCCTTACCAGGAAAAGATTGCTTTCTCTGAGGTCCAACTGTCAGCTGCATGAGGGTCTTTGACCTCATGGTGGCCACCTTCAAGGTATTTCCACTTACTATGTTCCATTCAAGACCTTTGCAGCTCAATGTTTTCATATGGGACAAGATGATTCTCTCTCTGGATCACCCACTACTGCAATCCATCCTGGCGAAAATCTTCCTGTCAAGATGGATTTCCAACTCCAACTCCTGCCTTAGAATCCTGGAAATTGTTCCTCCCCTCTCCCTGAAAGTTGGTAACAATAAATACAAGCCTGACTAGATAGAACAGGGCCTAAAATTCCCTGACTGTCCAGGTAACCTGGTCCCCACAGGAATTGATGCTCTCCATCAACATTCTGAAACAGAGCGATAGTACCAACTCTCTACACAGTAACCCAGTCAGAGTGCAGTTAGACAATGCCATGGCTGTGGCCTCCCTAAGCTACCAGAGGGGTACCATAAGTCAGGCAGCCCTGAAAGAAGCAAGCTTTATTCTCTCCTGGGCAGAGAACCACATCCCAACACTCTCTGCTATCTATGTACATACTGGGAGTACAAAATTGGCAAGCAGCCTCAGTTGCCAACTCCCCAAGATTTCCCTGATGCTCTGCCAGAAACTGGGAACATGTGGGATATTAATGATCCAGATTCAACAAGGAACTGGTCAGGTTTGTGACCAGGTCCAGGGCTCTCCTGGCTTTTGCAAGTGAATGCCCTAGTGGTTTTTCTTGCATCCCGCTAAGTCTTTTTTTTTTCATTTCCTCCAGTGAAGCTTACCCCTTAACTGTTCTACAAGATAGAAGGTGAATGGATTCCGGTGATCCTTCTCTCTCCAAACTGGCCAAGGGGAACTAGGTACACAGAAACGTTTAGACTTCTGGAGCACTTTTTTTTTTCTTCCCCCAAACAGGCCAGACCTCCAGTCACAGAGCCCTCTGTTCCATCCTGCTACTCAAACACTGGCTTTAATAGCATGGCTGTTGAAACCAGGTCCTAAAAAATATCAGCATGTACTGACACGGTCATTCCCACCTTTGCTCAAGGTGAGAAAAACACCTCTCATTGGATCTACCATTGCACCTGGATGACCTACTTAGGCTGGTGTGAGAGCAGGCACCTCAACCCTCAGGAATATTTTATTCCTCACATACTGGACTTCCTCCAGCCCAGTGTGGACCAGCATCTTGCTCTAAGTATCCTAAAAGGTCAGGTCTCTGCATTATCCATTGTATTCCAAAAACCTCTGGCTTTGCACTCTCATCAATACCTTAATATAACGAGTTGCACATGTTAAATCCCAACTATGATCTTCTGTGTCTACCATCGGTTTGAATCTGGTTCTTTCAGTTCCTCAAAAACCTCTTTGACCTGATTCAGGATATCCCATTGAGGAATCCCACCAGTTATGTGGCCCTTTTAGAGGCCACTACCTCCGCCAAGCGTGTATCTGTGTTGGCAGATCTTTCTTATGAGGAACCATTTACTTGTCTTACATAGGAACAAGGTGGTCCTACGACTCAGACCCTCTTTCCTCCCCAAGGTTGCTTCTACCTCAATCAGGACATTGCCCTCTCTACCCTATGTAGGGAGGCCAGTCACAGCACTAGATATATGTAAGGGTTTAACAACCATTTAAGATGACAGGAGTTTTGACTTACCAAGTAATTCCATATTATTTAGTACAGGTCCCTTCTCTCTGGAGTCTCACAGAGTGGGTTTCCAATCACTTGAAGGTAGTGGCCATGGTCCATGACTCCCTGTCCTATATGCCAAGATATGGAATTAACTACCAAGTCAAAATTCCTGATTTCCAAATGCAGTTTTAAATCGATTCGATTACTGCTGGCAAATAGAGGCACTTCTTATGCAAAATATTGATAAATGATCAATATTTTAGTTACAGGAACCAAAAGTGATACACCTGATAAAAAAAAAAAAAGTGTATTAACTACCAAACTTATACATGGATATTTGCTTTTTTTTTAAAAAAAAATAATTTTTCTCCTATATGTACAGATAGGGGAATGGTAGGGAAATCTGGTGTTTATTGGCACTGATGGATTCACAAACTTGTACTGCCTTTACTTTTTCAGACATTGCTCTTTGCGGTGCCAAAATCCTGACTTTTTTTTCCCCCAACTTCAATTTAAATAGTCCATATACGCATACACACAGGGATTAGGAAGAAACAAGCCTTATTCTCTCCTGGGCGGAGAACCACATTCCAACACTCTCTGCTATATATGTACATACCGAGGGTACAAAATTGACAAGCAGACTTTCTAAGTTACCAACTCCCCAACATTTCCCTGATGCTCTATCAAAAATGGAGAACACAAGCTGTGCGATATTAATGGCCTCCAGATTCAACAATAAACTGGTCAGGTCCAGGGCTCTCCTGGCTTTCACAGCGAATGCCCTGGTGGTTCCTTGAATGCCATCGAGTCTGGTTTATTCATTCCCTCCAGTGAAGCTTATCCCTTGACTGTTCCACAAGCGAGAAGGTGAACGATTCCGGTTGTCCTTCTCTCTCCAAACTGGCCACGGGGAACTTGGTACATAGACATGTTTAGACTCCTTAAGCACAAGACTTGTTTTTTTTCCCCCAAACAGGCCAAACCTCCAGACACAGAGCCCGCTGTTCCATCCTGCTACTCAGACACTGTCTTTAACGTCATGGCTTACATAGGACCAAGATGGTCCTAAAACACAGAACCTCTCTTTGCTCCCCAAGGTTGCTTTCACCTCAATCAGATTGCCCTCTCTATCCTATGTAGTCACTTTACTAGGTATATGTAAGGGTTTACAAACACTTTAAGATGACAGCAATTTTGGCTTACCAGGAAATTCCATATCATTTAGTACAGATCCCTTCTCCCTGAACTCCATTTCTCCTTATTGCTTGCTACAAAAATAACTTGAAGGTAGTGGCATATAACCCATGGTCTATGACTCCATCCTGTCCTATACTCCAAGATATGTATTTACTAGCAAGTCAAAATTCCTGTTTTCCAAATGCAGTTTTAAATCTATTTGATTACTGCGGGCTAATAGAGGCACTTCTTATGGAAAATATTGATAAAATGATCACTGCTTTAGTTACAGGAACCAAACTTGAAAAAAAGATATACAACTGATAAAAAAGGAGTATTAACAACAGCCAAAAGTATACATGTTATCAGACAGTTCTTAACTCACCATTTTCATTTGTTTTAAGCAGTTCTTTGCTCTCTCTTCTAACTTTTGTTCTGTTTCTTGAAGTCTTTCATGCAACTTTCCAACCTAAAGATATGAAAAAAATCTAGCTTGGTTTCACAACATTGCCAGCAACATCAGTTTCCCTATAAAGCAGTCCTATACTTAGGGGAAAAATTGTTAAACAATGTGAATATACAGTACAAGCATATTTAACACAAGGTGCTAATACATACTATAGTTTTCCCTGCAAGAGTACCCATAGACACAAGAACACAGCCATGTTTCAGCTACCTGATGCTCAACAGGCAAATTACCAAACCTGTCCTGGTGACTACCATTTCATTGCTGATAGGGGGTAACATCTCCTGCTACTTCCCACAGAAGATATTTGCAAGCTTAGCTGAACCAGATTTAGATGTACTTACGTAGAGGGTATTTAACTCTAGATGGTTGATCAACAGACCCTGAAATACCTATTTGTCCTTGTACGTTCTATGACCCACAGTACATTCCAGCATTTCAAAATATAAATGTGTCTTACCACGCTGACTTTAATTATATCTACCATCCTTTAACTTACCTCTTCTTCTTTCACATGAAGACTATGCTGCACATTATCAATTTTCTTCTCCCTTTCCTGAATCAGCTTCTCCTTTTCAGTCAAAAGCTTTTCCTGCTGCACAGTCACAGAATTCTTTAGCTTTAGTTTTCCTATTAAAGTCTTCAAGTCCCCTTGAAGCTTCTTAATAATAGTATTGGCCTTTCGTATACAAGTTAAAGTAAAGAGAAAAACATATTAAACAAATAGAAATCCACCTTAAAGCAAAATTAAAGCTTCAGGTTTTTTTTTTAACAAACATGTTATACTTACCTGCTCTGTGTAATGGTTTTGCACAGAGCAGCCCCAATCCTTTTCTTCTCGGGTCTCCTGCCTGCGCCTCCCCAGACGAGTGCCCACCATACGAAAGCTGCTTCTTATGGTAGTCACTTGTGCAAGCTCGCTGCCAAACCAAGCTGCTTTCCAATGACTCACACTGCTCTCAGCCAAGCCTGTGAGTCAGGAAAGAGAGAAGATGCTGCAGATATGCAGAGGTCTGGACCAAGATCAGGGTCAGGAGTGTATTTAGTGGGGCTGCGGGGGGAGCTGCACTTGCAAGTTACACATATGGATTAGGAAGGCAGCACTGTTTTGTTTTTTTGGCTTTTTTTTAATGAAAACATTGTCACATATCTAGGTTGGTGAACATTCCTCGACACCAGGAAGGTTATTTGGACTTGAAAATTTTAAGGCAGCCTTTAATATTTACTCTTTTCTTGCAAGTATTGTAAAAGAAAGTAATATGAAAAATTTGGAAACAAACACGAAACTAATACACAGAAAACATGAGCAAGCATGCCACACACTGGCTCTCACCTTAAGGAGCTCTGCAGATAAAGACTGTATTGTTGCTTCCAGCTTTCCTATCTGTGCCTGCTTCTTCCCTGCGCTAGCTTCTAATCCCGTCTGTAAAAAGCACACCAATTATAAACCCTGTTTATAGCAGTGTAACCTATACACATTTTGTTGGTTTTAGTACACTAACCTTCTGCTGTTGGGTGGCCAAGAGAATTTCATTACTTCTCTGCACTATCTGATCCTTATCTCTCAGCTCCTGCTCCAGAACAGCAAGCCGAGTCTGAAGACGATTTATCTCTTTTTCTTTATCATGGCACTCTGCATCCAGTGTAGTATTCTCTCTGCCTAAAGAAGACACCTTCTGTTGTGTTCTTTGCAATTCCTGAAAAGCAAAGCAGGCTCTAGATATAGCAAAAAATGCAGTTATCATTTAGGTTCAAGATTAAAGCAGACCTGTTGCCTAAATGCATAGTACAAAATCATGCATCAAAGCATGTATAGCTTAAGTCATATGCATTACAACTATTTCCATAAACACGCTTTTTTCTATTATAACATCAGTAAAACATCAAGCTTCCATATTGTAGGTCTTGACTAATTGCTCAAAAAGTTAGGATCTGAAAGTATTGCAATGAACAAATTACAAGTTGAAAAAGTGTGAATCCATCAGTGTCAAACTCAGATTACCCTACCATTCCCCTGTACACACTCACCAGCCACTTTATTAGGTACAAATTGCTTGGTAACACAAATTGCTAATCAGCCAATCATATGGCAGCAACTCAATGCATTTTAGGCATCTAGATGTGGTGAAGACGACTTGCTGAAGTTCAAACCGAGCATCAGAATGGGGAAGAAAGGGGATTTAAGAGACTTTGAATGTGGCATGGCTGTTGGTGCCAGAGTATTTAAAATACTGCTGATCTATTGGGATTTTCACACACAAATTATCTCTAGGATTTACAGAGAATGGTCTGAAAAAGAGAAAATATCCAGTGAGTGGCAGTTGTATGGATGAAAATGCTTTGTTGATGTCAGAGGAAATTGGGCGGACTGGTTGTGGCGACATTCAGATGGTAAGGTCAAAACTTGGCGTAAAAACATAAAAGCATGGATCCATCCTGCTTTGTATCAATGGTTCAGGCTGGTGGTGGTGGGGGGTAATGGTGTGGGGGATATTTTCTTGGCACTAGCAAGGTGTACCCAATAAAGTGGCCGGTAAGTGTATATAGATGGAAAATGAACAAAACAAAAAAACATCCATTGTAAAATCACCGAGAAACTTTGAACAGGTCAGTGGCCAGGGTGTGAACAGAGCAAACTGGCTGCAGCTGAGCTCTACTCCAATTATATCCTTTACACTATCCTGCACATCGCCTATCTCTTGTGTCTTCCTCTTAGCAGCAGTGAATCTGTCACCCGCTGCAGCCATCTTGAATACACGGTCTCCCAGCAGAACCATGTCGGCCGGCACACAGACTTTCTGTGGACATGGAAGTGGCTGGTCCATCTACTGCGGACCTCCTGGCAGCCATCACATCCTGTAAAGCAGGGCTTGACAAATTTGCTTTGAATCTAGGACACAGCTAAAAAAAAAAAAAAAAAAAAAAAAAAAAAAAAAAAAAAAAGCAGTTTTTCTGTAGCATAGTGTGGGTTGTCAGCACCTGGGACTTCACGTGATGCGATTTACCATGCAACAATCACGGCAAAACCGCAGCACGTTTTGGGCAGCATTGAAAATAAAAGCACCTAAACCTGCATTATGCAATGACAGCGATTCTGCTGCATGCCCAAAAATGCCCAGGTGTGAATAAAGCCGCCCTGGTTCGCAGGTATGCAACTCTGGATTAATTCTGAAATTCATAGATTTGCATGACAGGCTAGATATTTTTTGTGTTCTTATTGAGGTGGTTCACTCAGATGCGATTCACACACTATGTGTTTTGAGTACCATTATGAAAAGGGTCCAGTGTGAGTTTGTAGAGGTGCATTCCAGATAGAGTAGAGTGGCATGCAGAGATTAGTGTTTTGCTGTTGGGAGGCAATTCCCCATTCGAGTCTACGGGGCACGCAGATTCCCCATTCGAGTCTAGGTGGGGCAATGTTTGAACCCAGGCACCAGGATGCAAGGTCCAATCGCCATGGTGACCTGGGATTTGTGAGCCCTGTTGTAAAGAGACCCTTATCACCAAGATGGACTCCTTATCTACTGATATCAGCTTAATTGGCCATGACATTGGGGAAGTTTCAGTCCCAACTCTCGATAACAGAGTCCCACATTTCACATGGTCCAGTTGGATTCCATGGAACTTTATGCCCTGCAGCACCAAGTGAAAGGCCTGCAGGAGAAGTCTACAGATACAGAAAACCACCTACACCTTAACAACCTAATGGTACTGGACATATCAGAAATGCTGAAAGGCCCAAAGACTGCTGAGTTTGCGGAATCTTTTCCCACTATGCTGCTGAGCCTACACAATCTCCTGTCCACTCACATTAGTGGTTGAGCTGATACATTTGGATTGATTTACTAAAACTGGAGAGTGCAAAATCTGGCGCAGCTCTGAATAGAAATCATAGAAAGTCCACCTCCGCTCAGGGCCTAGTCGCAAAAAACACACTTTCCAAGGTGAAAGAGCTGCCATCGAAGGGGATAGAGTTTGGATACTCCTGTAGCTGCCTCACCATACTAGACTGACCAGTGAGGCACCATATGCAAGGCGTAATGTAGGATGATGTCTCAGAAGGGGTAGCCACTGGAGGCCCAGAAAGTTGGTACTGGGAATGATGATGACAAACAGAGGGGTACTGGGACTTCTAAGAGCCACCCAAGAGAAGAGATGTGAATCAACACTTGTAGTTATTAAGACTTCGTCAAGGCTAGCTGGAGACCAGAGGTAGAAGTATGAAGCACAGATCAGCGGATGTCCAGCCAATCTGCAGCCGGGGTATCAAAGATGAGAACACAGCAGCCATCAAGGATCAGCAGCCTGCTGGGGTACATCAAGCTTTATTTTATACCTTTCTCAGGCAGACGTTTACAGACTTCAGTGAAAGAGCATCTTCTTTGTTCAATTTCCGATGAATATTCAGGAAACAGAAATTTTGGCATTTCCAAAAGTCAGATTCAAAGAATTCCTGGAGGCTGCTAGTAACATCTCAGTCTCAATAGTTAGGGCGCTTTACAAGGAACAGCTGTGGCTGTGCTTCCAGTACTGGTGGAAGGATACGATGGACTCTCCCTGGGATTTCCCCAAAGCAGACTGTTTACTGGGTTTCCCTTTTTTTTTTGTTCCTAGATTGTTGGAGTTATGCTCCTTCGTTCACATTCTTGGGATAAAAGTCCTATCACTGCTCCATGTTACTTCTTTTTTTTTCAGTGTACAGGTAGGGAATTAAAATTGAAATTGCATGTTGCCCCAAGCACATTTTGCTACTCTTAGATTAACCCCCCCCCCCCCCCTCGAAATTTGGGTATACATGATATACAGCCCTTTTTCAACGCTTTCTTCCTCCCATATGGGTAGCACAGCTCCTGAGCACCTTAACGTTGGGGGGGGGGGTTCCATAAACATTAACATGCAACTTGCTCATTTTTGAGAGGTAGCTCAATCTTAATTAGTAAATCCTTACCGTGTACGATAAACCAGAATACATACAGACCCCAACAGTAAATATGTGATCCTTGCTCCCACTCTTTGGAACCAGACCCCCAATCTGGACAGGCTGACTCATGCATGCCTCATATTGCATCCTCACTACCTATCACAGTTTCAGAGGCCCTAAAATGGCGGGTGGGGGGAGGGTGCTTCTACTATCCTGGCATTTCAGGGACAACATTAGAAGCTTATGCCAGACACCACCCACTTTTCTAACCACTTGAAGACCAAGCCTTTTGTGATATTTTGCTTACTTGAAAAAACTGTTTTTGCTGCTAGAAAATTACTTTGAACCCCCAAACATACATTTTTTTTTTTTTTTAAAGCAGAGGCCCTAGAGCAGGGATGTTATATTCAAATTCATGGAGGTCCGGTCATTAAAACTTTCATCTAGCAAAGGTCCGAGTCTCATGTTTGTGCTATGACTCTGGTTCTTCATATCACAGCCCCTCGGGGGGAGGGGCCCCCAGAGTCATAGCACATGGGCTTTACATCAAAGCCCATTTCACATCATAGCCTCTCCTTTATACCACAGTACTACCTTTATTGCTGAACCCCCTTTTTACATCCCAGCACCCCTCTTTACAATACAGCCTCTTCTTTGTTGGGAATGCAACAGCATGTACTATAATGTACTATATACAGTATTTTGTGGTAATATCACTTGACCAGTAGATGGCACTATACACTAAAGGTTACTAGTTGTGTATGTGTAAAACTTGCTGCTTCTTTCCTCTTCTCTATCACCTCTTCAGGAAGTAATGAGTCTGTAATATGTCTGCTGCAATGTGCTCTGTATGTTTGTAACTTAAGCCACACAAGTAAAGCCTGAATTCTGCTATCACTACCAGTGTCTTCCATAACACATAACCAACATTCTTTACATTACAGTGCCTGCTTTACATCACAGCTCCCCTTTTGCAATTAAATCCCCCCCCCCCATTTTACATCACAGTGCCTCCTTTACTTGTCTTTTGTCTCCCCTTCACATCACAACCCCCCGACGCACCTTTACATCAGTATCCTCAGCCCCCTCCTTGTATATCACAGTCCCCCCCCTTCCCCTTCACATCAGTGTCCTCTGTCAACCCTTTACATCACAGCCCTCTTACCTAAATCCCAGTCCCCATCACAGCACCCCCTTCCTTGCACCCCAGTCCCTTTCATAGCCCCCCCTCCTTGTATCCTAATCCCCTTCAGAGCTGCCCTTTCTTGAACCCTAGTCCCCCTTAAAGCCCCCCCCTTACTTACATCTCAGTCCCCTTCACATTCCTCCCCTCTCTTGCATCCCAGTCCTCTTTACAACCTTACTTAAATCTCAATCCTCTTCACAGACCCCCCCTCCCCTTTACTTGCACCCAAGTCTCCTTTACAGCCCCCCTTACCTACATCTCAGCCCCCCTTCCTTTCACCCCAGTCCTTAAAACCTCCCTTCTTTGCTCCCCTGTCCACTTCAGTCCCACTTCCTTGCACCCCAGTCCACTTCACAGCCCCACCCCTTACTTACGTCTCAACCCCCTTCATAGCCCCCCCCCTTTCCTTGCACCCTAGTCCTCTTTAAAACTTTACTTGCACCCTAGTCTCTTCACAGCCCCCTTTTTGCACTCCAGTTTCCTTTACAGCCCCCCTTACTTACATCTCAGTCCCCTTCACAGCCCCCCCCCCCCCCCCCTTCCTTGCACCCCAGTCCTCTTTACAACCTTACTTGCAGCTCAGTCCCCTT